TGGAAAAACTTTTAACAGCACTTCTGTGTGTACCAACACACAGACGATCTGCGTAACAGTTGACCAATGATCCAAGTTCTACAGCACAGAATCTGCAGAGTATAAGAGCTACTTAAAATGTAAAGCAGATCACTGTGATTTAATGCAAAGGGCAAACTCAACAAAAGACTGTAGACTACACACAGTACCCACCTAAGACTAACCTCTGACAGGTGCAAGTGAGATGGCTCAGGGCATGAAGATGCTTTCTAACAAACTTATCCCCAGGATCCACATAGCAGAAAGAGAAAATCAACTTCCATAAGTTGTCCTCTAACCTTAAAAATGTATCCCATGTGTATGGTCTCAAATAAATATTATAGTAAAAGACACTGTTGGCTACTACTTACAGAGGTTTAGTGCATTCCAAAGATAAACTATCATCTCAAAAAGCTATTAAAAATTAACTCCAATTCAACTATTCATCTGTTAAGCCGATTTTTTACCTCATACTGAAATGAAATCAGGAGCAGATGAAAACTCACTGTTTTTTAAAAAAATTGATTTTTAAAAGATTCTTTCATGGGGGCTAAGGAGATGGCTCAGTGATTGAGAGCACTTGCTGCTCTGAAAGAAGACACAGGTTCATTTCCGGCACCCACACAATGGCTCATAATCATCTGCAAACAATTTTTGAAAAACCAAAAACCTCAAAGATTCTATGTCCCTGTTGACTGACACCACAGTAATGTGAAGGAGACCATGGGCTGATGTGAGGACAACAGATCAGCGAAGATCAGCAGAAGTTTGGAAGCTCTCAAAACAAGCCTTGAAATCCATGCCCCTTTCATTTTCCACTAAGGAATTCAATGAGGAATCAGCAGTCTTCCTAACAGGCTGAGACAAGTTGTGCCCTTCTCTCACACCACACATATTAATCTCAAGCAAGTCATAAACATAAATGTAGGAGCTGAATATAAAATGTCAGAAGAAACAGCACTCAAGCTACACTGTTTGCTGTTGAGTTCCCTGGATATGACATCAAACACAAAAAGTGCAAAAGGAAGATGCTGGACTCAGTCCTGAGCACCAAGGGAAGAAAAGTGGAAACACAATTTCACTATCATAGACGGAAGAAATTGTTTATAAATCATACATACTCTTGAAGCCTACTAGGGTGGCTACAGCCAAGCAAACAATGGTAAGGATGGAGACAAATACCAACCCTTACACACTGTTGCCAGAAATGTAAAGCAAGAGGTTAAGGAAAAGTTTGACAATTCCTCAAAATGTCAAGAAATAGAAACAATTCATTTATCTAACAGGAAAATGTAATAAACTCACATTAATGGAATATTATTCAGCCACAAACAAGAACAAGGTATTGTTATATGTACAATATGGATGAAGCTCAGAAATAGAGTAAATGAAAGATTTCAGTCACAAAGTGCCATATGTATATTATGCCATTTACATGAAATGTCCAGAGTAAGTAAGACAAATCAGTGGTTGTCAGGGGCTGAGTATGAGAACTAACTGCTATGAGCACAAGATTTTTCTGTACTTATGGACATTTAAAACATGGACATCACAATTGGATCCCAGAATTTATGTGGTGGAAGGGAAGAACAGCTCCCACAAGCTGTCCTCCGACCTCCACATGCCTGATGGAACATGCTCTTCTACATGCACGAACATTGGAACCATACAAAGATTAGCATGGTGCCTGCAAAAGGATGACACACACATTTGTGAAGTGTTCTACAAAAAAAGTTATAACGTTTGGCCATACAAAATCAGATTCACAAGTGTGAGCCTTTCCTATTCTCTTATACACAACAATGAATAGGACTGATATAAGTGCCACAGAAGAGGCCACTATTGGACTACCCTGCTCAGACGCATGCTACTAAGTACAAGCTAATTTTATACATTGTTAGGTTTTGTAATGTTTAAAATGTTTTGTAGTGTTTAAACCACAATGTCTTAAAACACACACACACTAAACTTTTTGTGTGGTATATACTCTGTGTGTGTGTGTGTGTGTGTGTGTGTGTGTGTGTGTGTGTGTGTGTGTTTGCACAGAAGACAAAAGAGATGTTGGGTGTTTTCTTCTATCTCTCTCCATCTGCAAACAGGGTCTCTCACTGAAACTGGAAATCTCCATTTTTTAGATAGGCAGGTGGTCAGCAAGCCCCAGCTATCTTCCTATCTGTCCCCACAAGCACACTGCCTTGCCCAGCTTTTTACATGGGTTCTAGGATTTAAACTCAGGACCTCATAGTTGCACAGAAAATACCTTTACTTACTGAGTTATCCTCCCAGCCCTCACCACAATGTCTTAACAGATTATATCAGAAAAGGACAAGATAAGTGCAACTGTGTTCTATTAGGAACTATTAAATGTATCATGATACATTTCCCTATAATAAGATTCCAACAGCACTGGATGAATTCTGACAAGGTAATTCATCTACTCCAAGTGACCTGCTATTCACCAGACCATTATTTTATAAACTTTCACATTCCTGTGATCCCATTCTTCTTACCAATAAAAGAAGATTATATCCAGCAAATAAGGTTTTGGAAAAATGATCTAATGACAAACCAGATTACTAAAACACTCTGGAAGATATTCCAGAGAAAGACTACCAGATCGAAGACAGTCTACTTTTCCAGCATTTTGATTGGCTCCTCACTATTAAGGACTCCTCAGCTCTACTAGGAGTAACAACTCACAACGAGGAAGCTGCTACATTTGGCCACCACCGAAATGAACACAAAGGATCTCCCTAAAAGCTAGACTGGATTACAGGTGACACAGAGGCCTCATGTCCTTAAAATTTCCTTACTGCTAATACCAGGAAAAGATCACAGGAGGCAAGCTGCACAATTTTCACTTCCTGTATGTTTTATCATCAATCAACGCAACTACTTAGAAATAAATACACACACACTCCCTCCCTCCCTCTCTCTCTCTCTCTCAATTCTGAAATTTCTATACTCTGGCATCAAACACATTTCTAAGTTCTAAGAAGTCTGAATAGTGGGCAATTCCCAGAAGAGTAGCTAGCAAGTTCAATCATGCTGGCAAAAGGCCAACCCAACTCCTCTGCAAATACTCCAGGAACTATAAAATACTCCTGCTCTTATGAAAGTAAACTAAAGTCAAATGAAACACTGGCAGGAATATATCCCCTCCACAGTATCTTTTACTGTAATCATTGCACTTGAAAACACTATTGAGAAAAACAGTAGGATATGGAAATAGGACACACTGAAGGCATTGAAAATAGGTCTACAGTTCTGAGTTCCTCTGCAGGCTAGCACTGCACTAACAAAGAAAAGACTAGAGTAAGTGTTTGTGAAGAAAAAACTGAGGGCACACCTATCTCAGCCCTGGTGGGGCTTTCACAGGAATACCAGTCTGGGTGACAAAGTGAGTCAAGGACCACCTGGGTTACACAAGAGTGTGCCTAAAAAGTCAGTGGCTTTCTATTGGACATAAGTTCTTTAGTAAAGGAGACAAAACACTGGACTTATTTAAACCTATTGCTATTTCAAAGGTTTCAAGAGAATAAAATCCAGACCTTTAGAAAACTGGTAACCCAGCTACTTGTGATTTATGCCTTGCTCATTCAGGATTGCTATCTTCAATGACTTGGCACTGTATTTATCTGATTTGAAGGTGCTCAATCAAGAGCCAGGTTATGTCACGGGTCCTTTCTCCAAATTTGGAAGGAATTCAGAAAACAAACAACAGTATGGTGATGCAGACAACCGTTAGATTAGGAGTTCCATATTGGTGTTTAGTAAATGGTCTCAGAGACACTGAAACCTCAATTCTGCTCGTTAATGACAGGGCTGCAATTGTTAAGCAGTCACCTTCTCTTCTCTACCCCACTTAATACTGTACCCCCCATCTCACACTGTCTCTAGTCTTCCATTCCCTCCCTAAGGGTTTTCTCCAGCTCTTAAGAGATGGTAAAAGGATAAGTAAGCAGCCGGAGGCTAATCTTGGTCAAAGAACACAAACCCTGGCACCAGCAGTGGACAGCAGGGGCGAGAAAGCCGAAATGGAAAGCCTAAGGGGGAGTCCGTCCAGTGGGGAAGGCTATCCTATGATAGTTACTGCCACTTCGTTCCTTAATCAGACTCCAACCTACCCCACCTCCCACCCGCTTCACCACTCCTCAGCGGTCCCTCTGTCATGTGCATTTTCTGGAGACAGTTACACCTTTCAAACAGAACTTAAAGACCAAGGCGAAGGTGCTGTTCTCAGGCTTCAGCCGGTCAAAGACAATAAAGCTTCACCGGCAGCGTGGCTAAGTTCAAACGTCCTGTTTCACGAGATGGACTGAATACTGACACCATGATCACCCCCACCCCACCCAGGCCCACCTCTATTCCGCAAAAAGGTGACTGCTAGGAGCAACTTCAAATGTATGTCAATCGCGTGGTGTTGAGGAAACAAAAGGACTCTGAATTACTTTAACAGTCTGGTTCCGAGTGCCTGGCCTTGTTTCTCCCCGAAGAAAAATAGGACACTGAGAGTCCAGAGATGTCTTTTTTGCCTTCCCTACGGTGCCGCCAGCAGCTATCTAGCGGGCTTCTAAGGGGCTCAGTATTGGTTTCTTCGAAGCGGAAACTTGCCCTCGGTGGCCAAATGTCTTGGAAGTTTCCCCCCTTTCTTTAAAACGTTTAACTTCTCTACAGATGGAAAGGACGCAAGGAACGGTTTCCTTTGTTGAAATGCCCGGAATTAGTTGAACTGGGGGAGCAGGCGGGGAAAGACTGTGTTTAGAGAAGGCGGGACAGATGCGGGGAACCGATTAGGCTGCTCCGGGCCGCCTCGAGGCCTGCGGTCCCCGTCACCTGTCCGTCCGCCGCGCCCGGGGACGGGGTAAGGCGCCGCCACCTCCACTCAAAATGGAGGTTATGAAATGCGTGCCGCCCGCCCGCCACATGGTCGGGCCGCGTCCTAGGGCTCAGGCGCCGGCGGCGCCGGAGCAGCCACTCACCCACAGACCGGTAGCCCAGGATGGCGATCTTCCGGGACTTGGACTGCGGCATCTTGGCGGCCTACTCAGCCCCGGCCCAACCGCATCAACCGCGGCGGCGGCGGCTCCTCCGGCTCGGACTCTCGGCGGCGGGTGCGCCGGGGGAACGCGGCATACAGAGCGCGGCGGCGGGCGCGGCTGCCTCTCGCTGGCTCGTCCCTAGCTCGCTCAACCGCCCGGAACCGACCGCGCGGGCCCTCCCCCCCACAACACACCCACGTGACCGCGCGCGGCCGCGTCAGCGCCGCCTCCCGCCGCCGCCTCCCGGCCCGGAACGCGCGGGGGCGCGTCGGGGGAACGTTTTACTTTAAAGGGAAAAAGCGGAGACGCCCCAAGGCCCCCGGAAAAGTCACGACAGAAACTCGCTGCGTCATGACCCTCCCACCTACTTCCGCCGCTTTTTAATTACGACAGTCCTGCCCGAGCTCTGACTGGACAGCTCCCAGACAGCTGCGCGATGACGCAATGGAAACTCCGTCTGCCATTGGGGATTAAGAGAGGGCGGAGCCAAGGAGAGGCGCAGCTCAGCGAGGAGCTAAAAATATAATTTGGCTGCGATTGCGCCGCTGAGCGCCTGCGTGGTTCGAAAGTGTGGCCCTACGGGCGGGCGGGCAGGCAGCTCCTCCATGATTGGCTGATGTTGTGCTTGGGGCGGAACCAACAGCGAGAAGCGCGGTGATTGGTGAAATGATGAGCCGTTGGCCGACTGGCGTCTGCCGACCCTTAAAAGTAGCGGGGCGCGGGGCCCTAGACGGCCGTTGGCCGTCACTTCTTGATTTTTGTTTATTCTTTAAATTACCGTCCTGCTATGTTAGCGTTAGTCTGGGCTTAATGTGGGTGGTGACTAAGCTTTATTCGTGGCCGAGGGACTGTGGGAAGAATGGAATCTGCCGATTCCAAATGTCAGAAATTCCATTAAAAGCAACGTGAGCTGGTCCTGGTGCCGACCCAAGCGACCCACGAGACGCACCTAGCGTGCGCGTGTGGGAGCCCTGCTGCCAGATTAGCGCGTCTTTCACACTGAACACACAGGTTATTTCTGGAGAAACATGAAAACCAGCCATTGTCAAGAAGGCTGAGGGAAAGCAGGAGACTTCGCTGTCTGATGTGGGCGGGCCACGCCTGAAAGGGAAGGCTGGCATATTTTCCCCAAAAGGCGTACTGGCAGAAGCCCCTTGTCTATGGAGAACTAGAGAAGAGGAGTTGGAACATCCTCATTGTAAGGATTCAGGCATTATGCTGGCCTGCCCCGACAGCCCAGGGGTCCATGACTATTAGTCTGGATGCAGGTGCAAAGGACACCTTTAAAAGACAGACCCCTGCCCACTTATATGCTCTTTCCCTCTCCTTCCTGTTGTTCCCCTGGGGCAGACAGGACTTTCCTGTCTCCCTCTTCTCTCTGTCTCTGTATTCCTTTATCTCTTTTCTCCCTCCCACCAAAACTTCTCACTTAACTCTGTCTGCCTGGCATGTTTGTCCCCGCCTTGGTCACCCTCCCCTGACATGAAATCCACACAAGGTTCCCCTCATATCATAATATTTATGCTAAAAGGCAGGAAGGAAAGACTAGGCCTACTTCATGGAAGCCCAAGTTGAAAATTAGGCCTGGAAATGAAGATATCAAGAGAGAACAGCACGTTTGTCCTTATTTTTTTTAAAGTCTCTTGTAGTCCACCTGGAATTCTTAAGAGATGCACCTGCCTCTGCCTCCCAAGTGCTTGTGGAAGCACTTGGTCCACGCTCTGACTCAGCGTGGCGACACCCCAAATCACAAGAAGCGGTCTTGATGTAAACTGCAAGAGGACTTTTTATTTCAAGTGCACTGGGGTCCACAGTCATACGCCACACAGGGGTAGAGGACCCCTAGTGCAGAATTGAGACAGCTTTTACAGGGTTACAACAAAGTCCGCACATAGTAAACCAATCATCTCATAGCATCAAGAGCCCGCACGGTGCGGACCAATCAATTTAACCATTTTATAGTTTTTAGACCAATCATTTTAAATCATCCAAGCCCGCACTTTATAGACCAATCAGTTTTCTATAGCCCCAGCATTTGTGCGGCTCCTAGGTGGGGTAACAGATGGCAGTTAGGATAGGTCACTGGGTTGGGGGTTTACCTATTTACTACTGGCAGAGGACAGGGTCTGGAATTTGAGGTTTTTAGGGCTTCTTAGTATTTCTAAACTTTTAGCTTCTTGGGGTCATTGGAGGTTTAGGCTGTATTTTCCATCCTTTTACTTGGATTAAAGGCTGACCCACCATCTTGAGCTCTGATTCTCCTATCTTTACTCAAGTGCTAGGATTATAGGCTACCAACCCATTTTTTTTTTTTTTTTTTTTTTTTGGTGCTAGGGATTGAAACCAGGATGTACATTAGGCAAGTATGCAGACAGCTGAGTTATAGCTGTGTTCTCCCTAGCACTATTTTAAGTATTTTAAAACTTTACAATTGCTCCTTGATCAGATTACTAATATTCCTAGGCTAAAGCAGTATTCTTAAACTTTGTGGGAACTCAGAGGAAGATATTTTTTAGCAGATCTCAGAACATAGTACAATTAGCACATATATATATATATATATATATATATATCAATCGATACACACAACTCACACATAGACCCTCACTATACATAGCATGTCATTTGTATCATGTTCTATTATTATTATTTGTGTGTCTGTGCACATGTGTGTGCACTTAACAGTTAAGTGTATGATATCAAATGCCCTGATCCACTAGTATTCTTGAACCAATAGCACTAAATTCTTTGGTGAATGTAATTTAGGGTTACCTTTAAAAAAGTGTTTAGCAAGATGACTCAGCCAGTAAAAGCACTTGTTGTGTAAGTCTTACAACCTGACTTTAATTCATGGATTCCAAGGTGGAAAAAGAATTGACTCCCAAAAGTTGTCCTTTGTTTTTTGTTTGTTTGTTTGTTTGTTTGTCTTTTGAGACAAGGTTTCTCTGTGTAGCTTTGGAGCCTGTCCTGAAACTAGCTCTTTAGTCCAGGTTGGTCTGGAACTCACAGAGATTTGCCTGCCTCTGCCTCCCAAGTGCTGGGACTAAAGGCATGTGCCACCAATGCCTAGTTCAAGAAAAAATTTCCATTGTTTTACTGGCAATATTTTGTCACTGCAACCAAAGGGAACTTCATCCACTCTCCTCAGATTGCCACCAATTTTATTCTAAGTTTGAATGTGGTATTCAGAGACTGTAGATAAAGTCTATCTCTCCACAGACTAAAGCTTCTAGCTTTCACCAAGCTGACACATACAGAGCCAGGCTATGGGGGTGGTTGGCTCAGTGGTTAGTAAGATGACTGGAGCAGAAGGCATAGGGCTCGCCCCAAAGAAGCTGGAAGATGTTCAGGAAAACCGGGAGGCTGTCCCTTGCTTGTGGTCCAGTGTGGATTATATATGTCCTTCAAATGTGCCTTAGATGTAGAATTTAGTCACAGTTATTCATAAGCCACTGAGAGATATAATTAACATTTGAGTCGCACAGTCCAACAATGGCTCATCTTATTTGAAGGGCAGGCTCAGTATTGAATTTCATCCAAGCCATTAGGCTGCAGGGAATCTCTGTGGGGATGCAAGAAAGAAAAAGGAGACAATTTTTCTAAATGTTTTTATCTCACCTCCAAACAATCGATCTTTTTTGATATATAATATATGGATTCATTATGATTCCCTCACTTGGGCTATGTGACAGGGCATGTATGACCTCAGGGAAGTAATGGCAGGTCCTTCACTGTTAGGCTCTCAGAATGTTGGGGGTTGCCTTCATCCCCATCTCACAATGGAGGCTGATTTTGACCACCTGGCTAAGTGTGTCACTGTCCATGATTCACAATGTCCATTTTCTCTCCTGTTCAGTCTGCACTCTGGGAGGAAAGCCCTGTGCTCAGCCCCTCTTAAGGGGTGGGAGGTAGTATGTTATATCATTTCCCTCTGCCTGATAATTTCTTTTAGCATTTCTTGTAGTCCCCTGGACACAAATTCTCTATCTGAAAATGTCTTTATTTCTTTGAGTTTTATTTAAAAGGTTACAGAATAGCACATAATCTGTGAAATAGTACAGGAAGGCCTTTATGTGCCATTATGTAACATTTTGCATAAGTATAGGTAAATTAAGATTGAATTTCTTATGTCATATTGTCATATTTAGAACTCACCAGCTTTACAGTTGTGTTTGTGTGTGTGTGTGTGTGTGTGTGTGTGTTTGTGTGTGTGTGAGACTGTGCACACATTCTTTTCAGTCTTACTACAGGTGTAGATCCAGATAACTGAATCCACGGTCCAGATATATAGTCATGTCACCACAAAACCTTCCTTCGTCCTATTCTTTTATTTCCTCTTCAGGAGGTCTTCTCTGGGCTGGAGAGATGGCTCCATAGTTAATGGTGAGCACTCCCAGAGATCTTGAATAGCCTCCTGGTTAGTCCTCAAGAAACAGCTCACACAATTGATGAAATTTTCTATGCTTGTTTGCATTGTTGCTTTAATGACTTCTACAGAACCAGGTGTTATGATTTTGCGCTCGAGAGACCTTGGCAGGTTGAGTCCACACCACAGTAGGTTGAGGGATAGGCACACCATGCACACAGAGCTCACATGGGAAGTTTTATTGGGGGAATGGAGGGAAGAGGACAGGGGAAGAGAAAAAGAGAGCATAAAGTGGCCTTGTGGGAAGATGAAGAGAGAAAGAGAGAAACAGATACAGAAATACAGACAGCTGGGGGGGGGGGAGAACCAGGCGGAGGAGAGAAAGAGGAAGAAGAGAAAGGAGAAGACAGAGTTCTGCCTTTTGAAGGGAGCACACTGCCTGCCATGTGTGCAGAGGTGATACACTTTGCCGTGTTCCTTAGGGCCAGGGCCAGGTGTGCCTGGATGCTAACATCCCTCCCTTTTTGTTTATTAAAAAAGGTAAGGAGTTAAGTGTGCAGGTTAGAGGAATGAGGACATAGAGCTCTTGATACTACTTCTGATCTAGGGGCATTGGCATCTTAGGGGAAACCTAAAAAACTGGGTACTAGTCACATCCTGGAGTAGTTGGTTGTTTCACTGCTGTCCAGGATCTATGGAACCATCCAGTGCCTCTTGGTCCTGGTGAGGTACTGGCAGAGCAGAGGACAAGGAATTTTTTTTCTTATGTCCTGGTAATTGAGGGAGGGATTCTTTTGACCTGTTTGATGTGAATCGACTTCCTGGAACTTACAAGTTTGAGTTTGCAAAAAGAGAAGTTTTAGACACTTTAGCATTTCCACTGTTTGTAATCTGTACTGAAATTCACTTCCACAGCACTGCTCATTATCAAAGAGGTCAGGACAGGAATTCAAATAGGGCAGGAACCCGGAGGCAGGAACGGATGC